ACAGTTTGTATAAAGTTTCTTCCTAATTTGGACAACACTTTTAGGGCACACCCGTACCACTTCGACTGGCTTCCCTTTGGCCAGAGGTACTACTTCCAATCGCGTCGGGAATGCCGTAAAGTGGTTTACTGTCACAAAATTTCTTGGCAATGTTGGTTTAACTGGAAATGGTGTTAAGAAGGATTTATGTTCGTTGTATCTTACTTCTTTTAAGTTTAATTTTCTGTAGGTTCTTAATAGTACTGGAAATCTATCTTGGCTTTTTTGTGTCATCTCCATTTACTCTTGAAAGATCCTTTTTATGGTTTCACACTTAAACAATTTTACATTTAATTTTTTTGATGGCACGGAATGATGGTACATATAAATCTTGATATATTGGCAGTCCTGTTTTAGGAATGTAATCCTCTGTTTATTCTTCATACAATTTTCCTTTTTTTTGGTGGTTTTTCAGCAGTTATTGATGGTATCAGTTGTCTGTTGGCTTCTTGGAATTCTTCGTTCTTGCTTGGTGTAGAGATGGCCATGGGGTCGGCGCTGTGTGGTATAGGCGGATCCGGGGATGCAGGGGTTCAGCTGGAATATCAAAAAATAAATAAAGAGTTGCTGAACCAACGCCTCCTATGTTTTGTGCTGGTAGAGTTCCCTTAAGTGGATACCAGATGGTATGCAGGGTTGTCAGTTTAAAATTCAAATACCGCTACATTGACAACAACACTTAAGTAAACTACATCTTTTATTGTCGACATGTTTCGCCGATTAGATCGGCGTCATCAGGACAAAATATACAAAATTAGAACCCCTGAAGTACAAAAAACTGGCATCTTGTATATGACGTCATAATTGTCCATTGTTGACGTTGCTATAGGATACTCTATATCATTATGTAGTGTTGAACAGAAAATGAATCAAACATAGTACAATGCAAATGAAGTTACTAAATTCAGAGTTAATCTATAATTGTTCTAATTGTCTTTATCTTAAAAATAGTTGTAAACTATTCTAATGGTAAGTGTATAAATAAAATGTGTTTTTAAATAAAATTATTGTTTAACATGAATGTAAGTACAATGTCAGTGTACAGTTTGTATAAAGTTTCTTCCTAATTTGGACAACACGTTTAGGGCACACCCGTACCACTTCGACTGGCTTCCCTTTGGCCAGAGGTACTACTTCCAATCGCGTCGGGAATGCCGTAAAGTGGTTTACTGTCGCAAAATTTCTTGGCAATGTTGGTTTAACTGGAAATGGTGTTAAGAAGGATTTATGTTCGTTGTATCTTACTTCTTTTAAGTTTAATTTTCTGTAGGTTCTTAATAGTACTGGAAATCTATCTTGGCTTTTTTGTGTCATCTCCATTTACTCTTGAAAGATCCTTTTTATGGTTTCACACTTAAACAATTTTACATTTAATTTTTTTGATGGCAATGATGGTACATATAAATCTTGATATATTGGCAGTCCTGTTTTAGGAATGTAATCCTCTGTTTATTCTTCATACAATTTTCCTTTTGTTTGGTGGTTTTTCAGCAGTTATTGATGGTATCAGTTGTTTGTTGGCTTCTTGGAATTCTTCATTCTTGCTTGGTGTAGAGATGGCCATGGGGTCGGCGCTGTGTGGTATAGGCGGATCCAGGGATGCAGGGGTTCAGCCAGAATATCAAAAAATAAATAAAGATCTGCTGAACCAACGCCTCCTATGTTTTGTGCTGGAAGAGTTCCCTTAAGTGGATACCAGATGGTATGCAGGGTTGTCAGTTTAAAATTCAAATACCGCTACATTGACAACAACACTTAAGTAAACTACATCTTTTATTGTCGACATGTTTCGCCGATTAGATCGGCGTCATCAGGACAAAATATACAAAATTAGAACCCTTGAAGTACAAAAAACTGGCATCTTGTATATGACGTCATAATTGTCCATTGTTGACGTTGCTATAGGATACTCTATATCATTATGTAATGTTGAACAGAAAATGAATCAAACATAGTACAATGCAAATGAAGTTACTAAATTCAGAGTTAATCTATAATTGTTCTAATTGTCTTTATCTTAAAAATGGTTGTAAACTATTCTAATGGTAAGTGTATAAATAAAATGTGTTTTTAAATAAAATTATTGTTTAACATGAATGTAAGTACAATGTCAGTGTACAGTTTGTATAAAGTTTCTTCCTAATTTGGACAACACTTTTACGGCACACCCGTACCACTTCGACTGGCTTCCCTTTGGCCAGAGGTACTACTTCCAATCGCGTCGGGAATGCCGTAAAGTGGTTTACTGTCGCAAAATTTCTTGGCAATGTTGGTTTAACTGGAAATGGTGTTAAGAAGGATTTATGTTCGTTGTATCTTACTTCTTTTAAGTTTAATTTTCTGTAGGTTCTTAATAGTACTGGAAATCTATCTTGGCTTTTTTGTGTCATCTCCATTTACTCTTGAAAGATCCTTTTTATGGTTTCACACTTAAACAATTTTACATTTAATTTTTTTGATGGCACGGAATGATGGTACATATAAATCTTGATATATTGGCAGTCCTGTTTTAGGAATGTAATCCTCTGTTTATTCTTCATACAATTTTCCTTTTGTTTGGTGGTTTTTCAGCAGTTATTGATGGTATCAGTTGTTTGTTGGCTTCTTGGAATTCTTCGTTCTTGCTTGGTGTAGAGATGGCCATGGGGTCGGCGCTGTGTGGTATAGGTGGATCCGGGGATGCAGGGGTTCAGCCGGAATATCAAAAAATAATTAAAGAGCTGCTGAACCAACGCCTCCTATGTTTTGTGCTGGTAGAGTTCCCTTAAGTGGATACCAGATGGTATGCAGGGTTGTCAGTTTAAAATTCAAATACCGCTACATTGACAACAACACTTAAGTAAACTACATCTTTTATTGTCGACATGTTTCGCCGATTAGATCGGCGTCATCAGGACAAAATATACAAAATTAGAACCCCTGAAGTACAAAAAACTGGCATCTTGTATATGACGTCATAATTGTCCATTGTTGACGTTGCTATAGGTATACTCTATATCATTATGTAATGTTGAACAGAAAATGAATCAAACATAGTACAATGCAAATGAAGTAACTAAATTCAGAGTTAATCTATAATTGTTCTAATTGTCTTTTGATAAAATACAAAAAAATGGGGGAAAAAGTTTTACTCTTGATTTACTGATAAAATTCCATGAAGGTTTGAAAAAGTTTATTGGTGTTTTAAAACTTTAACCCAACACTGTATTTAAATGTTTATCAAAAATATACAAAGTCCATTTATCTGTTAAATACAGAAAAAATGATTTTTTTTGTTCTTCAGATGTTATCTCTTTATCATCTTAAAAAAATTCTATGAAGCTTTGACTGATATCTTAAAAACTTCAAATCCAAACTAAATCTAAATGTAAGGGGCAAAATATAAATAAATACATCTATTAGCAAAAATGATTCGTTAACTACAGAAAAATAGGGGCGGGGGGAAATAAATGTGTTCAAAGCTTTGCCATGGATGCATAAAGTTCCATGATGGTTTGTTAGAGTTATTGATGTCAAAAAACATCGTCACTTGACTGTATCTATTAGTGCCAGACATTCTTTAAATACATTTTGGTATATTCAATTAAAATTTGCACCAATTCAACAGACTTTTCAGGAAACTTCAAGTCAATTTAATCTCACTACCAGATGCCAATACAATGCTAAACCAAAAATTTTTTATTAATGCTATGCACAGTTGCTGAAAGGTAAGTCACATAAATATTCCAATATTTTAAATAATGAAAATATAAAATCAAGTTTTGTTACCTATTGACCCAGCTAGCCTCATTAAAATGGAGTATACCTACAACTCACCAATATTGCATCATATGCCAAATTTCTAATCAGTGTAATGATAAGTCGTTGATAAAACATTCCGATATGACATATTATAATAAGAGCAGATATTATTATTCAAAAATGTTGCATATTTGCATACAAAAAATACATAAAATTGTCATGATAAACTGGCTAGCGGAATTGTTTCAATCTTACCAAGCACTTCCCTTTATGACCCTTAAAGAAACTCACTTCTGATATTTAACCAAGTCACTAGAAAAAGCCTGAAACCATGTTGTCTTTTTGTTAGAATTTAATAAACAGCTGCGCCATGAGCGCATGATACGCCCGTCGCATTTTCAAAGAATAAAGTTCAATCACTTTTCAATGTCATATCAGAAATTTATGAAAATCGAAAGGGAGCTTTAATCAATAGATTTAAACAATTCACCAAAGTTTCGTGAGAACTGCTGAAAGCATTTTTGAAGTTTTGTCGGAAAACTGGAAAATCCCCCCTTTTTTAATGAATAAAACACCATAACTCGGAAATATAACATCTAAAATTTATAAAATTTGAAATGGAGCTTACATCAATAGATATAAACAATTCACCAAAAATTTCATGAGAACTGCGAAACGCATTTTGGAGTTATTGTCCGAAAACTGTAAACTGCCCCTTTTATTAATGAATAAAACCCCATAACTCAGAAACCTAAAATCTAAAATTTATGAAAAGGGAAAGGGAGCTCATGTCAATAGATATAAACAATTCACCAAAATTTCTTGCAAATTGGTGAAAGCATTTTGGAGTTATTGTCCGAAAACTGGAAGATCCCCCTTTTTTTAATGAATAAAACCTCACAACTCGGAAACGTAAAATCTGAAATTTATAAAAAACTAAAGGGAGCTCATGTCAATAGATATAAACAATTCACCAAAGTTTTATGCAAATTGGGTAAAGCGTTTTTGAGTTAATGTCCCACATGTTGATGACGGACGGACAACGGTATACCATAATACGTCCTGTAAAAGGGCGTATAAAAAAACATTTTCTTCGTTTATCTTTTTATATACATAACAAAGGTAAGTAGGTTTTTTCTAAATATTTGTTCATGATTACAAAAAATTGCTTTGCAAAATTAGTGAGATTGATTCTCATAAATCAGCATAAAATTATTTACCCTTAAAGCCCAATCACAGTCTGTTAATGCTTCTCTGTATTTCTCTATTTTAATCAGAGTCTGAGCTCTGTTTGTATATAACACTGTAATGTCTTTTATCTGGTCCAAAGCCTGAAATCATAAATGTACAAACAATGTAACAGAAATATTAAAAGAAGTTCCAATAGCATGCATGCATCACTCACTTCAAGTCACTTGCATTTTTTTTCTGAGCAATGTCACGATCATCAGGTGTTTTGTTATTGATAGATAAAACTTGAATTCCTGATTCCACAGCATGAATTTGAAAATGGCTCTGGTCAAATGAACATCAGTATTATATACAATAATTTTGTATGCATGAAGTTTATTTGATGCCTTAACTCAAGATCAATCAGATTTTCATTTTGCATTAACGTTTTCTTCTACAATCTTTTTCTTTTATTCAGACAAATCCTGATAATTCATAATGATCATAATTCTTAATCATTTACAGCATTTAAATTTCCAAGTTGAACTCTTGGTGTAAATTTTAAGTTTTTGTTTTTTCTCCAGAGTGACATTATTATATTCTACCTAATCTGCTAAAATACAGGTTTTAAGGAAGTTAAAAAGAAAAGGAAAAAGAACAACATTATAAACAAGTGGCTTATTTTGTAAATGAGAAGTTAAAAGTAGGGCACATACTGGACATTTAATGATACTGCCCACACTATCAAAGCATCATCTGTGCTGTGAGCCAGCAAATCTGACTTGATCATCAATAAATTAAATTTTTACCTTATAGTTATATCTTTTCTTTTCACATGTTTTATTCAAAGCAATTCTTTGAACCTCCTTTTCAAAGTATTTTGACCCCCCGACATGGAAAATTGAACCCCTCCCCTATTAGGTCAAAATTTTAATTTATAATAGTATTTACACTATTTACCTCGATACCTCTACTGGTGGACTATTAAGTCCCTGAGGGTATCATGAGCCCAGTAGTCGGTACTTCGGTACTGACATGATTAATTATAAACCTTTCTAAAATTGTCAGTTTATAAATTTTGAAATTATGAAAAACCTAAGGTTTCAACTCCGTCAGGCAAAGTGGACCTTAGATGGATTTCACTATTTATCAAGGTCCTTTTTATCATATAACTCTTCAACTGTTTCGGTTCTTATACATCCTTGGCTTTCAAATATTAGGCTTTGAGCATTCCTGATGAAGGTAATTGAAATTTATAAAGTGTTGTTTTCATTTTTTTTTAACTAAACATAATCATGATAATGCTACAATAAGTATCTTGAATGAAAAACATAAGTTGGAAGAAATTTATATAACGTAATTATCTACTTATACCATTATATTATGTTCCACTTATATCTCAAATGAATAAATATAAGATATTGATTAAATACTATCATAATTTCTTTTTTTTAAACAGTAGATTTTCAAAATTTCAAGTACAATAAATCTGGAACCATGCAATGAATTATAGTTTTGTAAATTTGATCCAATCTGAGTTATGGTTAACAACGTTTAACAAAGTGAAAAGAAGTTCTGTAGAAGACAAAAATTTTGTATAATTTAGACTTTCCAAGGATCATATCTCATGAAAGAGAAATATCTTGGAACCTGATAAAATCTGAGGAATATGGCCAACAACCTCTAAATAGGTTCAAATTGAATATAAGAATACCTTTAGAAGCCATATTTTTCATGTCATCAGAATCACATGTAGAAAACCCTCTGTGTGGCATAATTTCTGATAAGTTTTATTAAATTAAAATTCTAATAAAATGCTCTGCAGGACACAGCTTTATATGACTGCAGAGGTCGAACCCTGAACAGTTGGGGCAAGTATGGACACTACATTCAAACTTGATACAGCACTGAATTTGGATTGTGATTAAATATTTGACACATCATAGGTTTCTGACTCAAAATAAATGTGGTCAAAGAACTGAAAATTTTGAAATTGAAATTTACCTATTATGGTCCAATATCCAAAATATAAATACACGGTTAGATTCAGCATATCAAAGAACCCCATATATTAAATTTTTGTTGAAATCCAACAAAGTTTAATTTTGGACCCTTTGGACCCCAATTTGGACCAACTTGAAAATTGTGCACAAAATCAAAAATCTAAATATATGCTTAGATTCAGCATATCAAGGAACCCCAAAATTCATTTTTTGTTAAAATCAAACTAATTTTAATTTTGAATACTTTGGACCTAAATGTAGACCAGTTTGAAAAACGGGCCCAAACTCAACAAGAGGCTGTCAGAGTGACAGCAAACCGGATTTTCCTGCAGAGGTCAAACCCTGAACAGTTGAGCAAGTATGGACACTACATTTAAGCTTAAAACAGCTCTGAATTTGGATTGTGATTGAATATTAGACACAGCATAGGTTTGTGACACAAAATGAATGTGGTTTAAGAACTGAAATACTTGAAATTGGACATTTAAATACCTATTATGGTCCAATATCAAAAATCTAAGTACATATTAGAATCAGCATATCAAATAACCCCAAGAATTCAATTTTTGATGAAATCAGACAAAAGTTTAATTTAAGACCCTTTGGACCTCAATGTGGACCAATTTGATAAAGGAGCCCACAATCCAAAATCTCTCAATACATGGTTAGATTCAGCATTTCAAAGAACCCCATCAATTATTTTTTTGTTGAATCAAACAAAGTTTAATTTTGGACCCTGATTTGGACCAACTTGACAACTGGGCCCAAAAATCTAATATTTAAATACAGGTTTAGATTCAGCATTTGAAAGAACCCTATATATATTTAATTTATGTTGAAATGAAACACAGGTTAATTTTATCCATAATATTTTCTGTGCAAAGGGAAATAACTCAAACTGGATATGATGCAATTTTTCAAATTATAATCAATAATATAATAACAACAATCAGTGATGACTAAGTTCTCTAAAATTAGATATGATTTAACACTCAAACATTGTTAGAATCAGCATATCAAAGAACCAAAGAATTCAATTTTTGATGAAATTAATCAAAAGTGTAATTTAGGACCCTTTGGACCTCAATGTGGTATTATCTTATTAATAATGAAAAGAAATACAGGTTTAGATTAAGCATCTCAAAGAACCCTATATATATTCAATTTATGTTGAAATCAAACACAGTAATTTTGGACTCCAATTTGGACCAACTTGAAAAATGGGCCCAAAATCCGAAATCTAAATATGTTTATTAATAGACAATATAAGCTTAGTTTTTAAAGGAGTTTACTTCATCAAAAAAAAAATATATAGCATTCAGAAAATTAGTGTTTACAGAATAACAAACAAACTTGCCACAAAATTCTACAAACAATTTACCAAAGAAAAGAAGAAAAAAATCCAAAATTTTATTTATCATTAATACAATGTCATTTCAAAATCTATAAAACTTATCAGTAACAAGAAATAATTGTAACAGAATGCTGTTACGAAGTCTCCCAAACAAAGCTCCAATAATTCGTCATTCCCATTGTCGCTTGACATTGGGCAATGTCCAGTACAAATTGGTTTATGATATGTATTAGTGACGCCTATGGATATACCCTGTATGTCATTCAAATCTTCTTGAAATTACGAACAGGAATTTATATGGTTAATGGCTGGAGATCTCGACCGTTTACAAGTTCTCAAAAGGGGGGGTGATCCCCAGGGGACTCTCCCTTTATTTCATATGATTTGTTTTTTTTGTCTCGTACAAGAATATATATGGTTTAGGGGTGGAGATCTCGACCTTTTACAACTTCTTAAACAGGAGGGGGGTGGGGGTGACCCCAGGGGACTCACCTTATATTTCATTTGATTTGTTTTATGGTCCCATACAAGAATATATATGGTTTCGGCGTGGGGATCTTGAACGTTTACAAGTTTTCAAAAAGAAGGTGGGGTAGGGGTTACCCCAGGGGATTTCCCCTTAATTTCATTTGATTTGTTTTATTGTCCCATTCAAGAATATATATGGTTAAGGGGTGGGGATCTAGACCATTTACAAGTTTTCAAATAGAAGGGGGTGGGGGTGACCCCCATGGACTTCCGCTTTATTTCATTTGATTTGTTTTATTGTCCCATACAAGAATATATATGGTTTAGGGGTGGGGATCTTGACCGTTTACAAGTTTTCAAAAAGAAAGGGGGTGGGGGTGACTCCCATGGACTTCCCCTATATTTCATTTGATTTGTGTTATTGTCCCATACAAGAATATATAAGGTTTAGGGGTGGGGATCTCGACCGTTTACAAGTTCTTAAACAGGAGGGGGTGGGGTGACCCCAGGGGACTCGCCTTATATTTCATTTGGGTCAATATCCCTAATGCGCCTCGAAATGAGGAACTCAAAAGTTGTGTGTAAACAAAAAATCTCTGTGTAGTGATATTGGACATGTTTCTATTTTTTACAAATGACTGAGCTTAACCATTTGTGGTGATTAGGAAAGTAGAGGAACATAGAATAAATGTGTAAAAACTATGGAGCTATTAAATGTGTTCAAAGTATTAAATTTTCAAAGAACTTATTGTGTCAAAAAAGGGATTTTTCACCACGAGGAGCCGCATCATGAAAGGATGTTCGGGGTATGCTAATTTACGGAAAAAGTAATCTCACTTCGTACCCCGAAAATTTAACCACATATGTGAAAATGTCACAGCTTCGAAACGAGCTATCATACATATCCAAGTTTATGATATGGACTGAGCTACAGGAAAAAACGTTACCATTACCGCCAATGTAAAAACAATTAAAGATATTGACCAATTTGATTTGTTTTATTGTCCCATACAAGAATATATATGGTTTTGGGGTGGGGATCTTGACCGTTTACAAGTTTTCAAAAAAAAGGGGGGTGGGGGTGACCCCAGGGGACTCCCCCTCAATTTCATTTGATTTGTTTTATTGTCCCATTCAAAAATATATATGGTTTAGGGGTGGGGATCTAGACTTTTTACAAGTTATCAAAAAGAAGAAGGGGTGGGGTGACCCCAGGGGACTCGCTTTTTATTTCATTTGATTTGTTTTATTGTCCTTTACAAGAATATATATGGTTTCGGGGTGGAGATTTTGACCGTTTACAAGTTTTCAAAAAAAAGGGGGGTGGGGGTGACCC